TCGAGCTTGAGAGCATGCTGGAGTACGCCCGGACAAATGTGTAGCGCCCAAGACCAACCCATGGGAAGCACGCTCACACGCGGAGCGACCATGTCATTCGGGGCGACCGGCGAGCCATCGATGTCGACGATGCTATAGCTGCGATAGCTGGTGGCCTAGATATTTCGTCGAGTCCCTCTGGAATGGCGAGCCTATAGAACGCGCACTCAATGTCCCCAGCCGCGAAAAAGGCGCCGCGCCCCGCGTTCTCAAAGCCTGCAAAAGCCCCGGGGGTGGGGGGGCGAGTGTGAGGGGGGCCCGCGCAACTTGCATTCGCGGCATGGGTACCATATACGAGTCTGATGTCGCCGGACTTTCTGGCGGCGAAGAATGCCCCGAGAGTGGCGCCCCGACCGACGGCCCCGCGGTGCCTCGCCGCCCCTCGCTGCCTCAGCTCAGAGACAAAATCGCCGTGGGCAAGAGGGTTGTTCTTCAAAGCCGGATCGGTGTAGGGGCCGCGCGGGCGCAGTTCCGCGCGCGGCAAATCCGCGGCAGCAGGCGATCTTAGCATGTGATCGCGCCACAGGCCGAGCCGCATAGAACCGGCCTGAGCGAGACAATCTGGAAGACAGGCGGGAGCGTTGCCTCGCGCAAGCCAAGAGACCTTGCTCTTGACATGCGGCCGTTGGGTGGGGGCCTCCTTTGAGTGGGGGCCTGACCCGGCAAAGAGCGCGTCGAAGGCTCCCCCGCGAAACTCGGGGTCGCCCGGCGGCGGCGGCGCGCTAAAATAAGCCGACTCTACGTTGCTAAGCGCCGCCGCCTGACCGGCAGTCCGCGCCGCAGATGACGGGGTGCTGAAGCCAAAAAGTTCGTTGAGACACGTCGTGTCATCCGAGGCCCAATCAATCGCATGCGAGGTCCTAGCCAGCCTGCGGGCCGCGCCACTTGAGAACGATGTCCCACGACGGAAGAGGCTCAGGCAGCTCGGAAGAGGAAGGGGGGAAATATCTCTGTGCCGCCCCGGGCACTGCAAACCTGCCTCGGCGCAACTAATTCCAGCGCGAGCAGGCGCGCCAACCGGGGGCAGGGCTGGCGAGGGTGACATCACCCCTGCTCCTACTCCTGGCCATTCTTCTTTGGGCACGCGAGGGTGCGCTCCTCGCGCGGCTTCCGACGCTCCTTCATGACAGCATACTCCTTGGTGAGTTCACTCGCGATCCACTGAGTGAGCTCTGGCGTGGCCCCCACATTCCCGCGCGCCTGATCAGCGCCCCTTAGCGAGGTTAGAATCGAGCCCGTCATCGCTACCACCAGCGACCTTGTCACGATATCGCTCTTCAACAACCTGTATCTCGCGAGCGGCAATCTCGGCATCAGCTATGTTGGGCGCATTCGCTCGGTCATAACACGCGAAAGTCTCTAAAAACCTACAAGCTCCATCGTGGGGATCGACGCCGGGATCGCCGGGCTGAAGCCTGCAATCCGCGCGCCACCTGTTGTGGCGTCCCATGGGAGTCCCATGGGGGTGAACCTGCAAACAAACAAAATCGCACGCGGGTCTCTGATCGGCCAGTCGGGCCACGGATCTTCAGTGAAAAGCGACGCAGCATCTCTGAACTCACGAAAATGCTGGCCAGTTGCGTCATATATAGGATTTGTGCGAGCATCGGAGCCGGCCCCAGGCGGCGGAGGAGCGACGGTAGCGACAAAAGTGGGGGAAGAGCCGCACCAGCTGGTGCTCCCGCCCGCCCACAAGGCCACCCGCCCCGTCCGCCGGCGCGGCCCCCCCGGCGACGCCCGCAGCTGCACCTGCTGCAGGTGGCGGGCCGAGAGCAGCGGCGAGACGCGCCAGGCCCCCTCCAGGCGCCGGCGCTACCCCGTCCGCGCCGGCTCCGCCGGCAGCGGCGGGCAAGGGCGCGGCAGGCGATGCTGCTGCCGGTGCTCCTGCGTCCAGGGCCCCGGGGCCCGGGCCAGGAACCCCGCCAGGCCCGCCAGGGGCCACCCTGGGAGCAGCACCGTCGTGGGCTGTAGCAAGACCGCCGGCAGCCGCGGCCCCCCCCGCGGCAGGAGGGGCTGCCGCGGGTGCAGGAGCGCCCCCCAGCAGAGCGTGCACGTTGCCAGCTGGCGGGGCTAAACCCATCCGCCGGTAGCCCGCGGCTCGGGCCGCTGTCAGCTGGGCGACGGTCGGGATCACGCGGGACCTGTAGTACGCGGCGTTCGCGCCAGCATGAGAGGAACCGCAGCATTCGGGTCAGCGCTCGCGACCCAGTCCGAAACGTCCGCTCCCATCACTAATTTTTCCTTGTGCTCGTCAAGGTCTGGAGGCACGACAGTCACCCCAGTCAGGTAGATAGGCGGAGTACCACAGCATGTGCCACAGCTCACGCACTCCAAAATTGTACCTCATGGCGAAGTATTCTCCCTCACGAAAGCCGAAGGGGATGCCCGACTGCGGCTGCCGCCGCCGTGGCTCCTAGATGCCGGTGCTGACGCGCCGGCGAGCCTGTGCCTGCTGCCGACGGGCGAGCACGGCAATCTCGTCCTCAACGTGAACGTCGCCGCACAAGGTACGGGTTGTCCAGCGGCCTGAACAGATGCAACCTGACGATGACACCAGATGTGGCCGAAACTCCCGCGCGCAAGCTGTCCGCCTGCCACCAGTCCAGCAAGGAAGGTCCTCAGGATCAGCCCCGCATGCTCCACTGGATTCGCCCGCTCGTGGAAGATCTCCTTCACGTGGGTCGGCTCCGCGGCAGGGCAGTCGCAGTGCACAACAGGGCGGCAGTCGGGGCAGAGGGGGCGGCGCCTGCGCCCAGAGGAGGAGACTGTTCGAGATTCCTCGGGCGAGCTTGGGAACTACGTTCCGCCCCCCAAGACTGCATAGGCAGGGCCTGCTCGAACCTTGAGGATTACGGAACAGTGTTCCTGCGGCCAGATGCGATACTACTCGGCTTAAAGTGGTGAACACATCCATAAGTACATCTCTCTCTCTCTCTTTCTCTTTCTCTCCATCTTTCACGTGCTGTGTTTCTCTTTCTACCCCTTACATTCTTTCGGAGCGCGATCGTAGAAAAGCTCTGGGAAGGCACTGGCATGCCGCTCGATTTCGTCGTGCCTGAAGCTTCTGCGGCGGGCTTATCTGGACCCGCCACCGCACGCATGCGAAACCGTGGCGAACATATCCCATATGTAGTATTGGTCCGGGAACCTCAGCACCTCTCACATCTTCCTGTCACGATATACGGCTCGAACCACTTCGCGGAGTGGCCGAGGGCTCACTCAATGAAGGTGATCCTGCCAATTCACATAGAAATCCGAGCCGGGAGACTCCTCCCCAAGGGCATTTCCAAAACAGTTTGGCTAGTTTCCCGGGAATCTTTGAGGTCTTCGGAGTTTGTCTGATGATCTTCGGGGGTGTCTGCCGGTGTCTAGCATTTTGCGAGACACAGAATGGAGTAGGACGGGGAGGGCGAGGAACGACAAGAGTAAACTTCTGACAACCAGCAGGAAACTACGAACAACATCTGTCAACGACCAGGAAAACCATCGGAGGGTGAGGAGGAGGACGAAGAGGAGGACGACGACAATGACGACAACATTGAGGAGGACGAGGAGGGCGATGAATAACATGATGATGTGAGGCGCTTGAGGAGTGCGCTGGTGAAGTGAAGGGGGCCGACCAGCTCATCAGCTTCGATCTGGCCATCCCGCACCTGGGCCATCCTTGTTTTGGGGGGGAGTAGGGACGAGATGGGAGAGGCGAGGCGAAGGGAAACGGGGCACGGAGGAGACAGGAGGAAGGGGATGAGCAGGGAGAGGCAAGGCGAGGACTTGAGGAGAGGGCGGGGGGGGAACGGGGAGGAGAGACGAGAGGCGGGGGCGGGGTAGAATGGGGGGGAGGAGAAGGACCGCTGAAAGAAGCGGAGGCACGGGGGGGCGGGTGGGTGAGGAGTGGAGGATGCAGGGAGTGGGGGGGTGGGTTGCCCCGCCTTCCCAGCGCCCAGGAGTGGCTCCGAACAGCGCGCTCCGCCCTCATCCACCGCCTCCTCTTCCTCCTCCTCTTCATCCGCCTCCTCCCCGTCCTCTTTCACCTCCCAGCCCCCCCCTTCGCCTGTTCCTCCTCCTTCTCTTCCCTCGTCCCCCCCGGATCTATTTTCGACGATCCCTGGGCTCGCAAGGGGCACCCAGATGCCGAAATCGAAGAGAAGCGTCCAGTACGATTTTGATAGATCCTCCTCCTCCTCCTCCTCCCTCCTCTCCTCTCCCGAAAATCTGCCCCTGTATCCTCTCCCGTGCAGCGTTCTGAACAAGACCTCGAAGGGAACACAAGTCGTGGCGACGAGAAGCTTTACGAAGCTCCCCTGAAAAGGTGGAATCGCTACTCTGGATGGGGCAACAATCGCCCCCCACCCCCCTTATTTGGATCCGCGTGGGTGGTTCGGCACGTGCTGTCGGAACGGGTAGAGGGGGGGTTCGAGGACGAGGAAGGGGAGGAGGAGGAGGAGGATGAGGAGGAGGAGGATGAGGAGGGGGAGGATGAAGATGAGGAGGAGGGAGAGAGGGGGGAGAGGAGAAAGAGGAAAGGGAGGCGGGGGGGATGGGCAAGCTCCGTCGGAATGTCAATCCCCCACCCCTGAGAGATGCTCCATCCAGAGCATCTGGGACCTCAATCTTCGAGCCGAGATCCCAGACCCCCGACGTCGTTTTTTGTTTTTTGTTCTTTCGTTTCATGACGTGCCCCTCAGAAGTCTGGACCCCTTCCGGGGAACCGATTTTCCTCCCGAATCGTTTGCTGATGGCCCCGAGGCCCGGGAAAAACCATGGGAGACCGACAATGGCGAAACACCTCCCGTCGTGATTTTTGTTCGCAACAAGAGGTGGTCTGGGCTCGTGGGATCTCCTCCGCCTCCTCCCCCGCAGACGCCACCGACCGTGTGTGCGCTCAGGAGGGCGGGACGGGGCAGCCGGTCTCTCTCGGCGATCAAGCGCAGCCGCCCCGCGGACCCCCCGCACCCCCCCGCCTACGACGAAGTCGTTGGGATTCTCGGCCTCGACGTACATGCCCTTGGGGCAGCGCTCGGATGGCAGCACGATGCTTAGAGGAGCGGCGCCAGGGTTGGGTCGTGCATAACCTCCTACAGGCGGATTTTGGAATCACCATGGGCACTCGTCGAATACTGATCAACCAATGTCAGGAATGGTGGAACAGCATCGGACCTCCGACAATTTGTTCGGAGCAGGGCGAGTTGAGACAACGGAAACAAAACATCGGTTCCTTGACCCTTCCTCCTTGGGTCCAAACGCAGCAGCTTTCCGAGCTGCGCCCAGCCGCGGCGACGAACGACGGCCCAAGAGACCCCCGAGACGCCCGAAGGTCGGCCCAAAACGCCCAGGATGGCCCCTAAACGGCCCCAAAAGCCTCTCAGGCGGCCCAGGAAGCCCCCAAGAGCATTCCCAAAAGGCCAACATGGTCGAATTCCCATGGGGAAGCGTACATTTTCATCATACACGACTTGTCGGCCCTATCTTTTTATATTACACATGCTATCTGTACATACTTTTCTATCATACATCCATCATACATGTTTATATGTTTCGACGTACTTTGTTATCCTACATGCTATATTTTTATCATACGGCGTGGAGGACGGCCGTAGTCCCCCCGAAACCGCCCTAAAACGGCCCATGAGGCTCCCAAGAGGCGCTCGAAACGGCCCAAGAGGGCGCCAAGACGGCCCAAGAGGCTACCAAAACGGCCCAAGAGTGGCCCAAAACGGCCCAAAGAGGGGCCCAAGAGGGGGAGCCTAAACCAACAATCCGAGCCTTCCGCTCTTAGACGGCCCCAGGAGGCCCCAAGAGGCGCCCGACAGGGCCCATGAGGCCCCCAAGAGGCCCCCCAAGAGGCCCCAGGAGGCCCCCAAGAGGCCCCAAGAGGCCCCCCCCCAAACCCTCAATAAACCCGAAGTGCCACTTGAGGCGTGTAGCTGCTAACCCGCGGCCCAAGCACTAAGGATCTCAGGCCGACAACCAATGCACGGTGGCGGGATGTGCCGAAGGACACTTTGTGTGCATGTGTGTATATATGTATGTATATATGTGTGTATATATATATATATATGTCTATATATACACACATGTATATATATATATATATATCTAATTATCCCGGCAAAGCAACCTAACAGCGATGTGTAGAAGCATATATGGAAGCATTCCCCTTAAGATTCAGATGATAATCCAGTTGTAGAGTTCTGCTGTTCTCGCAGTCGCAGTCGCATTCGCGATGACAGTCGCAGTGGCAGCGGCAGTCGCAGTCACAGCCTCAGCCTGCCTCAGTATCAGCCTGCCTCAGCCTCAGCCTCAGCCTGCCTCAGCCTCAGCCTCAGCCTGCCTCAGCCTCAGCCTCAGCCTCAGTCTGCCTTCAGCCTCAGCCTCTGTGCCTCAGCCTGCCTCAGCCTCAGCCTGCATCAGCCTCAGCCTCAGCCTCAGCCTCAGCCTGCCTCAGCCTCAGCCTCAGCCTCAGCCTCAGCCTCAGCCTGCCTCAGCCTCAGCCTCAGCCTCCTCAGCCTCAGCCTGCCTCAGCCTGCCTCAGCCTCAGCCCTGCCTCAGCCTCAGCCTCAGCCTGCCTCAGCCTCTCAGCCTGCCTCAGCCTCAGCCTCAGCCTCATCAGCCTCAGCCTGCCTGCCTCAGCCTCAGCCTCAGCATCAGCATCACCATTCTCAGCCTCTGCATCAGCATCAAAATGCGGCCCGGGAATGGAGTTCTGGGAACTCGAAGAGCACGAAGTGGCCTACAGTTGGCTCCGGGCATTCAAAATGTGGCCCAGGAATGGAGTTCTGGGCACTCGAAGAGCACGAAGTGGCCTACTGTTGGCTCCGGGCATTCAAAATGTGGCCCGGGAATGGAGTTCTGGGAACTCGAAGAGCACGAAGTGGCCTACAGTTGGCTCCGGGCATCCAAAATGTGGCCCGGGAATGGAGTTCTGGGAACTCGAAGAGCACGAAGTGGCCTACAGTTGGCTCCGGGCATCCAAAATGTGGCCCGGGAATGGAGTTCTGGGAACTCGAAGAGCACGAAGTGTGTGACTGTTGCATCCGGCCCTCCAGAATGTGGCCCGGGAATGGAGTTCTGGGAACTCGAAGAGCACGAAGTGTGTGACTGTTGCATTCGGCCCTCCAGAATGTGGCCTGGGAATGGAGTTCTGGGAAATCGAAGAGCACGAAGTGTGTGACTGTTGGCGAAAAACGAGCCCGGCACCTGCCGCCCGGCAACTCCCAACACCTGCCCGGACCCCCCTGTGGAGTGATCTGTGAGCTCTTTTGAGTCAACTAGAAACCTATCAGTCTTCGCTGTTAGGTAAAAATGTTCACTAAGGGCCCCCGGACCCTTCCTGGAATCCAGTCGCAATCGTTTACCCAAATACATCCAGCCGTGGCGACAGGGGAGGGGCCCGGACCCCCCCCGACCACAACAAACCTCCCGAGTCCGACGGGCTACTTCACACAAGTTCGCTCCCCGAACCTCTCCCCGGGCCCGCTGATGCAATTTCTCGCCCCAGGTCCGTCCGATTTCGAAAGTCCTGGGGCCCAGCAGCGGCCCCGGGAGACCGAAACCTATCATCAACAAAAGCTGCACAAACAAAAATCTCTGGAAAGGCGGCTGGGACTGCCGCGGGCACCTACCTCGATCGAGAAGAAGAAGATAGGACGAGGAGGAGGAGGATGAGGAAAAAGAAACACATAAGATTTCGTCGTCGCCGCCGATGTCTCACATACTTTCGTGGTCTTTCGACCACCCGAAACATCTCCTCGAATTCAGCCTCCACGGACCCTTTTCGGTGCCGGGGACCACCGCCGAGGGTCCGGGGTGAGGATCGACCTCCCTGGCCGGCGCCTCCTCTTCGCAAGGGAAGGAACATGGTGCGGATCGATGCTCGAGGCATGAGGCGCCTAGTTCTTGGGCGCTCTCCACCCCCTCTGGGCCTTCAGGAGGCTCCTCGTCGACACAAGTGGGTCCACTCTCGAACTTCTGGCCGAACGAGACCCCGAGCCTATCCAGAGGGTGGAAAAGGAGGCCTGGGACAGGCCCCGTGAAGGCCCCAAGGAACCCACATAAGACCACGAAGAACTTCAGAACAATCCCCTAAAAGGCCCCCCCATTAGACCCCACACGCTACGCAAGACAGGGCGATACCCCAAGACTGCCCAGCGATCGCGCGCGTTCTGCGAACACCGTCTTTCACTCTTGCTGCCGCCCCAAAAGGTCGGCGGCGAAGCGTAAGCCAATGAATCTGTCAAGAAGGGGGGAAACAAACAAATCCGCCGGCGTTTGAGATTTCCTCCCCCATAAGCTCCCCCTGGGACCCCAAACCGGCAATTTGACCCCCCCCCCTCGCCCGGCGCGGCCCACCGCCGAACGTGCCACGGGAAAACAGAGGGCCCAAAACGAGCCAAGAGGGCACCAACACGCCTCCGTGACCGTCCAAGAGGACGACGAGTTGCCGAAAGATCCTTCCCAAACGCTCACAATGACTTCCAGACGGCCTCCGAAGCCCGCAAAACGACCCAACAGGCCCCCAAGAGGCGTCCCAAACGAGCCCCAAGAAGCAGAAATCGTCCCCCCCCCCCTTCGTAAAACGTTAGTTGTTACCATGTTTGCCTCTTGCGGTTTCGCAACGTCGGACACGGCCCATGAAACCTGCCATATCCTCCCAGGACGGCCTCGGCAACTGCCAAGAGAGGTCACATAGGGCCCAAAGACGGCCCAAGAAGCGCCCAAACCGGCCCACGCGGGCCTCCATACGGCTCCAAAAGGGAGCCGGGAGGGCAACTGTTTGGTCCTTGGGCTCCGAGATACCCTCATCCTGCTGCGAGAACCTCCAAAGAGGGTCCCAGGGGGCCCCAATCGAGGCCCACACACTACCTCCAAGACACCCCCGTGACGCCTCAAGACCAGATCGTGACTCCTTCTCCTCCTCCTCCTCCTTCTCCTCCTCCTCCTCATCTTCTTATTTGACTCCCCTTTCGCCTCTCCCCCTTCTTCCCCCTGCTCCTCCTCCTCCTCCTCCTCCTCCGCTTTCACCTTCTTTGCGTTCCTCCTTTCATCGGCTTCCTCCTCGCTCTCGCTCGCACCCCCGCTGCTCCTACTTCTACGGGCCATGGCGCGGGCGCCCTACTGGTATCATTCGCATGCCTTGCATTTCAAGGTGCTTTTCTTCTCGTCACGCGCGACATGGCTCGCGTCCACGGAAAAAAAAGCCGACTTCGGCAATTTCCTCTGCCACTTGCCACTGCGCTGAAGGGCGGCCTGCCAACTGCGCGACCTGAACCCTCCAAACACTGAGAAGCACAAACAACACCTTGAACTCAGTAAAGGGGTCGGCGGATGTGGCGTAAGCCTATAAAAGTCAGTCTGCTCGACATCGATCCCCAGACCTCTCCCGGGTCCATCTGGCGAGTTCTTCCACCACGGATCCATGTTTGACGTTCCTGGGGCCCGAAAGCGGCCCCCAGATGCCGAGAAGGGCAACACATCCTCCCGAACTCAGGACTTCGGGGAGCCCGATGCTGGGAGGAGGAGGAGGAGGAGGAAGAGGAGGAGGAGGAGGAGGAGGAGGAGGAGGAGGAGGAGGAGGAGGAGGAGGAGGAGGAGGAGGAGGAGGGGGAGGGGAGGGGAGGGGGAGGAGTGGCAAACCCGTCACCAGCAAGAGGCAGGCCGGGCCCGAAAACAAAACTATCGATAGGCACGGGCACGCCTCCAACAAGGGCGCGCACGATCATCTTTTCAGGCCCCCTGGGACTTAGTGGGCCCTGGAAACGACAAGATTTTTTGTTTTTGATGTTTTTTTGCCGGTTCCGACGCCGTTTTTTTACCGCATCCGTCGCCGTTCTTTCACCGGTTCCCGCTCCGGTTCTAATCCTGGAGCCGTTTTCGTTACCGTCTCTGGTCGCCGTTTTTTTTTGCCGTTCCCATTTTGAAGGGACACTTCTTCGGAAACGTTGAAAAAACGGCCCTGCCGCTTCCGGGGCCCACTACTGGCCATCGCTCGGCCGTCCATTCCCTGTGTTTTTTTGGGGGGGGGTCGTGCGTGGCTTTTTTCGCCACATGATCCAGGAGGCTCCCCGATGGTCCTCGCCGAAGGAAACATGCACACGTCCGAGCGACGCCAAGACGAAGCCCTGGGGCAGGCCACGCCGGGCCTGCCGGAGAGCGGCGCGGCACGCGCGCAGAACGGCACCGCGGCCACCCTCGTTCCTCTGCGCGCTTGCTTGCCGGAGGCGGGGCGGGGGTGGGCCTCCTCCTCCTCCTCCTCCTCCTCCTTCTCCTCCTCTTTTCCTCCTCCTCCTCCTCCTCCTCCTCCTCCTCCTCCTCCTCAGGCGGTGCTGCAGGGCGTCCCGCACGCCGCAGCGCCTGCACGTGCCCGCGCTCTCGTCACAGCCCCCGGTCGGCCATCTTTTGTCACCCGTGGGGTGGGTGCCGCCCGCGACGGCAGCGAGGGCCCGCTTCTCCAGCGGGGTGAGGCGCTTGCTGCCGGCCGTCGCTGCGACGACCTCCCGCCAGACGTCTGGGAGGGCACGCTCGTCCAGTCCTTCTCGCCGTCGCACGCTGTCTGAAGCACGCTCACGGACTCGGTCAAGCGCGTCGCACAGGCACAACTTCTCCATGCGCCTGGGCGCGTGCTCGAGTGCGGACAACGTGCCGTGCCGTGGCGAGACGATGACTGTTGCACTTCTCGCTGGCCTCCCTGCCACGGTGGTCGCCTTCAGCACCGCTCCGATGGGCCCTGCCGCCGACTTGCCATCAAGGTCGTCCTGGAGGGCCTGCTCGAACACTCTGCGCAGGGTGGCGATGGGCAACACTTTCCCATGTCGGTGCCGCTCGTCCGTTGCCCTCCACAACTCTTCCAGGTAGCGGCCCAGAGGCATAAAGGCGGCCTTGCCGATGGGGTCGACCTTGCGGTGGATGGCGCCGAACACGTCCGATGACATGTGGCCGTGCCCGTAGACCTGCTTGGTGATGCGCCTCATGCCGTCGAGCTCCTGCAGGGTGAAGCCGCTGACCTCGCCGCCCCACTTCTTCATGGGCAGGATGGCTGAGTGCAGGATGCGCCGCGTCTTCTTATAGGTCTTGACCGCACGATACGCCATGACGAGCCGCTGCTTAGCCGCCTTCCACCTCGTCCTCTCACTGGGCCTGGGTGGATGTGCCTGAAAGTACTACCGTGCCGCCGACGTCCCGCACGAAGGAGGAGGCGGAGGCGGAGACGGACGAGAGAGGAGGAGAAGGAGGAGGAGGAGGAGGAGAAGGAGGGCCGAAAGGTGGGGAGGAAGAGGACGAGGTGGATGAGGTCCTTGAAGTGCAGCCCCGTCTTGCACCCCTCCTCCTCGCAATAGACGAGGGAGTTGGCGGCGCCTGCGCGGAGGATGCACCCGGCAACGACGCGGAGGGGCGGATTGACGGAGGGCCACGGAGGCGATGCGGGCGGCAGAAGGGGCGAACGAGGGCGGCACAGGCGGAGACGCAGGAGAGCCAATGCGAGCTACACCCCCTCCCCCAAGGCCTCCTGCAGCACCGACTCTTCCGATGATCGACGGAGCCGAAGCCCTTCCAAATCCTGTGCTGGAGGCCAGGAAGCGTGGGTCCCCTGCCCTCTCTCGAGGGCTGCGATAGGGGGGGGGGGACCCGACCCGCTCAGGGAGGAACATGAGGATTTGTTTTAACAAGAAAACAAAAAAACACGTTAGACCGACCGTAGCTGCAAGCTGTGGCGCGTTCTTGAAAGACAGCAATGACAGCGCTGGCGCGCGCAATACCTGGCGAGCGCCGCGGACACAGCTGGAAAACGAGCCGGCGACGAATGGAGAAGAAAGGGCAGGCGCCCGCCAGGTAGGCAGGCAAGTACTTCAGAGTAAGATCACCCTATCACCGTGTATCGACTGATTGGTGCACGAGCCAGGGGGGGGCACTGACGGACAGTCGGCCCGCATCAGGAGGATGCACGATCAGGACGCAAGGGGGAGGAGGAGGAGGGAGGAGGGGAGGAGGAGGAGGAGGAGGAGGAGGAGGAGGAGGAGGAGGGGAGGAGGAGGAGGAGGAGAGGAGGAGGAGGAGGAGAGGGAGGAGGAGGAGAGGGACCCCTGGGCACGAGCCAGTGTCGGAGATCCACGGCCCGAGCAGTGGCGACGGGCTCCCGGCCGCGAAACCGCACGCTCTCCCGGGCGGGGGGGGCCGTCGGGCCCCTGCTGGCGACCACCGGGCACTTCTGGGGGTCGGTGCGTCCCACCCTGAGCCGATGCCCCCCCCCCAGCGTTCTCCTTGATCTCTGCCTCCCGCCCCTCCCCTCCCCCTCCTTCCCTCCTTCTCCCTCCCTCCCTCTCCCTCCCTCTCCCTCCTTCCTCCCTCCTTCTCCCTCCTTCTCCCTCCCCCCTTCTCCCTCTCTTCTTCTCCCTCTCTTCTTCTCCCCTCCCTCTCCCTACCTCTCCCGTCCCTCCCTCCCTCTCCCGCCCCCTCTCTCGCTCGGTGGCGCAGGGCAGGATTTTTGTCAGAGCTTCCCCCGACGGGCCCAATTACCACCCGGGCCGACCTTCGGGCGTCACGGAGGACCAGGCGTGCGTGCATCCAGAATGTTGGCGTCTGGTGCCCAGTTCTTGGGCCCGGGGCTATCAGTATACAAGTGCCACGTGCGCGCCCAGGCTCATTCGAAAAGAGCTGCAGGATGCAAGCAGGAGCAGTGGGGACGCGACCATTCCCGTTGGCATCCTCCCAGGACGGCCTGGAACGAAGCCGTCAGGTGTCTAGCATGAGGTTCGGTTGCGGGGGCGCAGTCGAGCGCAGGCGGGGCTTCCACACCACGTGATACGAGGCCTCCTGGATGTGGTCCGAGCAGATGGGGTCGGAGGATCGCGCCGCATCGCCGATACGTCGGCGATGCACTGGCGATGCACCGGCGACGCATCGCCGACGTCGCCGATACATCGTCGATGCATCGGCGTGAAGAACATCGGGCTCCTCATCGGGCCGCATCGGCGATGCATCAGCGATGTGGCGCGATCCTCCGACCCCATCTACTCGGACCCCATCTAGGAGGCCTGGAGTGATTGCAGCTGAGAAAATGGGGGGTCAACGATGTGGTTGCCCCTGATTGTGATTAGACGAAGTGGTGAGACACACTACTTGTGTCAGAGTACAGCGACAAGGTTCTACCAGCGAATCATAACTGCACTTGCGTTCCTTAGAAGTCGCGTCCAGATGGGTACCTCCGGGGATCATGATGCGGGTGCGTATGGTGAGACTTGCCTCGTGTATCCCCGCGAGGCCCTCCTGGTGCCCATGAGTGCCTGTGCCGTCGACGGTGAAGATACGTATGGTGAGTAAGCGGATGAACCCCGATCAGACGAAATGTTGGATGCATCCCAGGAAGCGGGGGGGGCGTCGAGTGCAGATGGGGCTGCCGCACCTTGCGATAAGTTTGGTGCGCACGGGGATCCCACACCTTACGATCGCAAATGACACGTCGTGGGGGTCACCGATGGGACTGCCACAACTTGCGATTCGACGAAATGTTGAGAAGCACCCCTGTCGGCATGAAAAGCACGACGATTATACCACTGTTGCGAAAAAGACGCTTCAACCCATTGAACAGCAAATGCTACTTTAAGGGTTGTGTGCGGAATGGTCCAAAGCAATCATGGATTCAATCAGCTCGAGCCGACAAGTCGAACATTCATTGGGTTGTTGGACTGTGACACCGCGATCTGGGTGAGGGGTGCGTCCGATTACAGAAATTGACAGGGTGCTCCAACGCGAGACAGCCATACAAAGATGGGGCGGCGACACCAGCAAACGTCTCTGTATGATAATACACCCACTTGCGGATCTCGTGAATCCCAAACACCTGGCATCTCTTGGAGACGACTATGTTGCTCCCGCCGGCTTGTTCCTTCCGCCCGCGGAACAGCCCTCGTTCAACTTCCGCCGCCTTCCGCACGCCTTCTTCCGCCTCCAGCCGAGTCAGATACACCAATTCCTCGATCCCTCGCAGGCGAGGCCTTGCCTGGAACGCCTCATACACACAAACTTGTCTATACGTACAGACAGACGTAAACATATATCTGTACACATGCATGTGCAAAGATCAAGAACTTCTGCTTAGCGTGTCGCGGCAGCGGCCCTGGCGACTTGCTGTGCCTGGCGGGTGGATGCGGTGTCGCTCCGCCCCGCGGGGTGGGACGCTGGGAAAAGTTCGGGACGTTGACGCTCGGTCGGGCGTGTCCCCCTACAGGGGGATTTGGGGCGAAACGTGAAAAATACTCAAACCATATTCAAAACATATTTCAAAATACTAGAACCTGATCCCCATACCATGTTTTTTTTTGACTATTTTTGGCTATCCCTCCTGTAGACGGACAAGCCAGGCCCGACTCAACGCTGCCGCCTGGAGACCAAGACATGGACAGCGTGCCGCGCGGCAGCGTGGGAGGCCCAGAACCGGCGGCGCGACGCGCTGCCCAGAAGCTCGCGACCAGGCGCGCACGCACAATGCCTTGGCGGCGCGAACAAGGGGGTGGTGGGAGGTCCAGACCCCAGAGGTCAGGACGTCAGAAAACGACTCAGGACGAAAAACGCGGGAGGGGGTCCAGACTTCCGAGGGGCACGCCAGGAAAAGATCACGACGTCGGGGGTCTGGGTCAGGGGATACGGGAGCAGACTACCTCGCCCCGGAGGCCAACACATGTCCTCATTCCCGAGGCCCAGCGAACTCCCCCAGCCAACCCCTACCACCCAGAGCCGCCGATCTGATTTTTCAATCCGCTGCCCCAGAGGTCCAGACCCCTTCCCCGGGGGTGGTTTTCGTCCCGGATCCATTTTTGATGGTCCCCGGGGCCCGATGACGGGCCCGGGAAGCCGAAATCCAGGAAAATCCGCTGGATTGAAAAAATCAGATCCTCGGATCATTGGGTCTCCTTCGCTCTCACTTGGCGGTGCGCACAAGGGGATGGAGGGAGGCGGGAGGGCTTCTTAGAAAGAGGCTGCTCCTTGGGAGGCGCCAGCCTTGCATCTGTAGGTAAGGCCCGCGCCTCCTAAGAAGCAGGGGTGCTTCTAAGAAGCCCTTCCCCCTCCCCCCCCCCCTCTGCACGTGGCTGAATGTATACGTGCGTGCTCCGTGGAGAAAGCTTGGGGAGACGTACGACTCGGGTTCGGCAGATTCGGGCTGGCATGACGGGGCCTTCATGAAAATGGCGAGACCCAATCTGAAATCTGACGCGAGCTGCTGCGGCAAGCATCCCGCGAAAACTGGACTGCCCAAATCCGGGACGCGCTCGTCGCAAAGCGTCGGCGTAGCGTGCGGCATGCTCGAGCACGTCTCCCCGCAGACACTGGTGCCGGGGACGGGCCTGGCTTAAACGGGCGAAGGACGGTGCAAAATCAACTTGTTCGCTGTCGGGGGCGCCTGTCCCAGGGCGGCTGGAACATCTATTCTATACCGTTCTTCGCTCGCTGGCTGGCAGCTCCCGGGGGGGAAGCGCTGCCGTGCACAAACCACGACGCCGGAGGCCTGGAGCCGCGTGCCGGCGGGCCCTCCTCCTCCTCCTCCTCCTCCTCCTCCTCCTCCTCCTCCTCCTCCTCCTCCTCCTCCCCTTCCTCCTCCTCCTCCTCCTCCTCCTCCTCCTCCTCCTCCTCCTCCTCCGCCTCCTCCTCCTCTCGCAAGCACCGGGGCCGAGAGCGGCAAGAGGGCACGAGCCTGCCGCACGGGCTCCTCCTCCTCCTCCACCTGCCCGCTCGACCTCCCGCTGCTGCTGCGCCTCCCTCCCTGCTCCTGCGCACCGCCGCCTCCTCCTCCTGCTCGGCACCGCCTGGGCCGAGAGGTCATGAAGGCATGAGGATGATGGTGATGATGATGATGGTTATGACGGTGATGATGATGATGGTGATGATTATGATGATGATGCTGAAGGGGATGGTGATGATGTGGATAAGCATGGTCATGGTGATGGTGGTAGTGGTGATGATGCTGGTGATGGTGATGATGATGGCGATGATGATGATGATGATGATGATGATGATGATGATGATGATGATGATGCTGATGATCATAATGGTGATGATGCTGCTGATGATGATGAGGACGAGGGTGATGACGATGATGATGAGTAAGGTGTTGCTGATTATGATGATGATTCTGAGATGCTGATGAGGATGATGAGGGTGATGATGATAAGGATTGTGATAACCCCGATGATGGATTTGATTATGATGATGAGGCTGATGATGACGACGATGCAGATGATGATGATGCTGATGATGGTGATGATTGTGATGGTGATAGTGGTGATGATGATGCTGGTGGTGATGATGATGCTGATGCTAGTGCTGCATCTGCTTATTATGATGACGCGGGCAATGATGATGATGATGATGATCATCATCATGCTGACGCTACTGATGCTGATGATGAGGATGATGATGATGACGATGCTGCTGCTGCTGATGATGCTACTGATGTGGATGAGGATAGTACTGGTGAAGGTGACTGTGATGGTGATCGTGGTGATGATGATAATAATGATGCTGCTGATGATGCCGATGATAAAGGCGATAACGATGATGACGATGGTGATGCTGATGATGGTGGTGAGGATGATGCTGATGATGATGGTGAGGATGATGAGGGTGATGCTGATTATGTTGATGATACAGATGGTGATGATAATGTCAATGATGGCAGGGATGACGATGATGCTGATGATGATGATTCTGATGATGATGATGATGATGATGAAGGTGATGGTTGTCGTGGTGATGATGATGCTGGTGATGATGATGATGATGATGATGGTGATGATGATGATGATGATGATGATGATGGTGATGATGATGATGATGATGATGGTGCTGATGCTGATGATGATGGTCATGATGGTCATGATGATAATGATGATGATGATGATGATGATGATGATGATGCTGATGATGATGATGATGATGATGATGGTGGGGGTGACGATAATGCTGATGCTGCTGATGATGACGGTGAATATGCTGCTGCTGATGATGATGATGATGATAACGATGATGACGATGATGATGATACTGATGATGATGATGATGATGATGATGATGATGATGATGATGCTGATGCTGATACGGATGATGATGATACTACTGACAACGATTGTAAGTTTCAGGATGCTGCTGCTAATTATGCTGCTGCTGCTGATGCTGCTGATGCTGCTGATGATGATGATGATGATGATGATGATGGTGGTGATGGTGATGGTGATGGTGATGATGCTGATGATGATAGGGCAAGGCCACTCTCCTCGCAGCGACCATAGAAGACATCCCCTCGTGGCCGATCTTGGAGACCCTGGACCCAAACATGCTGACGTCGCCCACTTGGGGTCCGAACCGATGGGGTCGGAGGGTCGCGCCGCATCGCGGATGCAATTGGCAACGTCGGCAATGCATCGGCGACGCCAGCGCGGAGAAAATCGGGCTCCGCGTCGAGCCGCATCGGCGATGCATCGGCAATGCGGCGCGATTCTCCGACCGCTTATACTCGGACCCCATCTTGGAAGCTTAGAATAGATAAAGAAAAAACGCCATAACCATAAACTGTTGGCGCTCCGCGCGGATCTCTTGGATCTACGCTGGACCCCCCCCCGTCCCTGCACGCTCGCCCTCCCCGCCCGCAGATTTTTTGCACACGGCCACCCCTTCTTGAAGGCAGCGGGGGAGCTCGCTGGCGGGTGCAGAACCGCGGGGCGCTGGCACATGGCAGCGCACCTCCAGTGCCAGATGCCCGCGCTCGAGCCCGGGGGAGCCCGGGGAGGCCCGAGGAGCAGGAGGAGCGGGGACCCCCGAGCAGAGGAAGAAGAAACGCCATGAAAAACAACTTGTGGCGCTCCGCGCGGATTTCTCGGATCTGCGCTGGAACCCCCTCCCTGGCGCGCGGAGCGCGCCAATGGCGGCGCCGGAGGCGCCGCTGTGGGGCCCAGCGCGGGTCCAAGAAACCCGCGCGGAGCGCCAACAGTTTATGTTTATGGCGGTTTTTCTTCTTCGATCGAGGGCGTGGCCTCCGCCCAGGGCCGTCTTGATGCTGACCCGCTTGGCAGTGAGCCCCTGGAAGAGCACGGGGTCGAGTTGGCCATTCTGGCAGTGCCCCGACGCCGGGGAGTAGTACCCGCAGGCCTGCCAAGGGGGGGGGAAGGGAGGGAGGCTACTGCTCCCTCCTCCTCCTCCTCCTCCCTCCTTCTCCTCCTGCTCTTCCCCTCTCCTCCTCCTCCCTCCTCCTCCTCCTCTTCCTTCTCCTCCTCCTCCCTCCTCCTCCTCCTCCTCCTCCTCCTCCTCTCCTCCTCCTCCTCTCCTCCTCTTATCCTCCCTTCTCCTTCTCCTCCTCCCCCTCTCCTCTTCTCCCTCTCCTTCTCTCTCTTCTCCTCTTCTCCTCTTCTCCTCTTCTCCTCTTTTCTCTCTTCTCTTCTCTTCTCTTCTCTTCTCTCTCCTCTCCTCCTCCTCCTCCTCCTCCTCCTCCTCCTCCTCCTCCTCCTCCTCCTCCTCCTCCTCCTCCTCCTCCTCCCCCCCCGTTCCTCCCCGTTCCTTTCTCCCGCCCTGGGGTGCCAGCATCGGAATGTCCCTCCCCACGGCGAGAGCACGTTCAAAACGACTCCCCCGGCCCTTCCTGGGCACAATCTTGACCCGTTTTCCGAGCCGCGCACAACCGTGAAATGAGCGTGGCATTGCCGTCGTGGCTGGCCACGAATGCTTGTTACACGCCCTGGTAATCGGCGTTCTAGAATGCCATTCTGAATCCTTCCCCGTACGTGGTGGCGCGTAGCGACGATAGGTGCAACACCTTCAAGTACCACACGTGCCATGTTGGCCTCGCTCCGCTACCGTGCAACATGCTGAGGAATTGGCAAAGCGGCGGCTATGTAAGGTATGGCGCAGTTGATCTGCAATGCAACCTGCGAAGGTAACATCAATCACAGACTTACACACTTGACCAACCAGTTGCAGCAACGCCTGCCCATCCAGAATGGGCAAACATATTCAAACGCTGTGATGCTCCTCCTCCTCCTCCTCCTCCTCCTCCTCCCAGCCTCCCTCTTGCTCCTCCTCCCTCCCCCGTCCCCGTCCCCGTCCCCCATTGTTCCCTCGTCCCCCATCCCCGTGCTCCTCCTCCTTCTCCTCCTCCTCCTCCTCCTCCTCCTCCTCCTCCTCCTCCTCCCTCTCGTCCCTAGCCCCTCGCCCCTCGTCCCTCGTGCCCCGTCCCTCCTCCCGCCTCGCCCCTCCTCCCTACTCGCTCCTGCCTCCTGCTTCCCACCTCCCTCCCACGTCCCCACCCCATCTGGAGAAACGAAGCGGGGGGGGGGCGGGCGGTTGGGGGAAGCTGGGGGCGCGCGGCCTGGCCGCAGGCGGAGCCGAGCGCGTAGCACTGGCCCAGCGCCTCGCGCGGCGTCTGCACGCAGGACATGCTGGTCTCCTGGCCCGCCGGCGCCAGGGCGCAGGCTGGGAGCCCGCGCCCTGCGGGGGGGTCCTCCCTCCCCTCCTCCCTCCCTCCCTCCCTCCTGGGCACCCTCCTGACCGTCCCCCCCCGCCGTCCTCCCATCTCCGTCCCCTCCTCCCCATACCCACCCCCCCATCGTCCATCCTCCCTCGCTCGGCCTCCCTCCCCGCCTCCCAGCCCTCCCTTCCTCCGCCGCTCCCTTGGAGCCCCTCTTGAGGGGGAACGTCAGGGGGGGACCAGCTCAGGGGGTGGGGGCGGGAACCTCGAGCTGGAGTCGGCGGCACGTCGCCGACCGATCGGCGACAGGCCCCCGATGGCGAGGCCGCACGCTCCTGGGCGGCGTGAGCTACCGGGCCCCTGCCGGCGATCAGGGGGCGATCGGGGGTCGATGCGTCCAACCCCCGAGCCCATCCCCCCTGACGTCAGGGGCCTCCCAAATGGGGTCCGAGTAGATGGGGTCGGAGGATTGCACCGCATCGGCGACGTCGGCGATGCATCGGCGACGACCGCGTGAAGATCATCGTGCTCCGCATCGAGCCGCACCGACGATGCATCGGCGATGCGGGGCGATCCTCCGACCCCATCTACTCCGACCCCATCGAGGAGGCCCAGATCTGAGCCGATCCCCCCTGACGTGGCCCCGCCTCTTGCGCCTTTGCCTCTGCCCCCCGGAGGCACCAGACACCTGGCGCTCCAACTGTTTCGATGCGTGGACTCCCTGGGGTCTGGCGACCTCCCTGGGACCAGTGTTTCGTCCTGACACCCTTTCCTCTTTGGCCTCCTGGGGGGAGGCCTAGTGAAGTACAGTGGAGGCCAGTCCACAAAAAACCTTCCACGAGAAACCCAACCCTGAGACCCCAGGATGTCCGTTGATTTTTTGGTGTGGGAACGTCCCGATTTCCCACACCGAAGCCATCGAAACCCAAGAAATACAGGGCACCCTGGAGGCAAGCAGGCTGCTTCTTGGCATGGGCCTCCACTGCACCCCCCTCGCTGATCGATGTCCTCCACGATGGCCCCCAAAGCTCCCAAGAGTGCCCCCAGCGGGGCCTGGGGCCCGCTGCGGGCCCCCAGAGGCTTGGGAGTAGCTCAATGGGGGGACGATACCTTTAGGTCGGGCATGCCCCCCTACAGGCGGGTTTTTTGGGGAAAATTCGAACATATTCAAACCATACTCAACAATAGGATGTTCCTCCTGTAGAGGGACAGGTCCGACTTAACGATAAACTGGGGGGGAAAGAAAGGTGCACTTCTCGGGCCCTCCAGGCCCCCGTTTGGGACCCTACAGGGCTCCTCTAGGGGCACTGAAGGGCCCCTGTTCGGCAGCCCTCGCTGCCTCCCCCCCTCCCGCATTTGTCGCCCCCCCGTTGCAGCCGGCCCGTATCATCAGGATGCGCGATAAAGATGCAAGGGCCTTGGACACCCATTTCGAAGCTTCTCGAGCGGGGCGCGGCCGACGAAAGGGGCCAAGGATGGACCGATGAGGCAAGGATGCAAGGGTACCCTTGGGAAGGTTGCCCATCATTGCTCTGCGGGCTGACTGTACGCAACGGGTGGACACAGGCCTCTTGTCTCGAATGGACACAGGCCGCGGCGGCGTGGACAGCGACTCCCGTTCAAAATGAACAGGAACTGCTGCTGGGCATTGTACCCATTCTTTCCGTACCATTGTCGGTCGTCCCGAGGGAAGGTTGCCTATCCTCACGATGCTTATGTCGGGCGTGTCCCCCCACAGGGGGACTTTCGACGAAAAATAACAGATACCCCAAAATAGTAAACAAATCGTCGAAACATAGTCTGGGGATTATGTTTTGATATTTTTGGAGTTTATTTTTTTGTTTGGGTATTTTTGGGGGCATTTTTAGTCTTCGTCGAAAATCCCCCTGTAGGGGGGACGCGCCCGACATGACACTCTGTTGGCGGACGGTGCGCGACGCCCACGAGGCCGCACAACGCCCCCCCCCACCCCGGCTGCTGGCCCAGCTGTCGCGGGGCCTCGCGGCGTGAGGCCTCGGCCCCGGCGCCCCGATGGGGCGGGCGCCCCGCGGAGGGGGGGCCGCGCCCCCCGGGCGGCTGCCGCAGGGAGAGGTGCGGCGATGGGGCGCGGCCGGAAACTGCAGTCAGCCCATGCCACAAGTTTTTGGGTGACCTCCTCCTCCTCCTCCTCCTCCTCGACCTCCTCGTCCTCCTCCTCCTCCTCCTCCTCCTTCTCCTTCTTCTCCTCGGCCTCCTTCTCGCCCTTCTCCTCCTCGGGCTCTTGGGGGCCTCTTGGTGGCCTCTTTGGGGTCTCTGGGGCCCCAAGAGGGGGTCCAGCTGAAAGGGGGTGGTGCAATAGATTTGGGGCAACCGTATTGCAAGCGTGTTGCGCCAGAGAGTTGTAGTATGGCACTGTGTTGCAGCTGACGTATTGCACGCGAAAGCGCCCCGGAATGTATTGCACGCCCCGAATGCATTGCGACCCAACAAATCCATTGCACCAAATCTATTGCACCACCCAGTTGTCGCTGGACCCTTTTTTGGGTCAACCCGAATACCATAAGGATGCATGATACGGATGCAAGGGCCTTGGAAGGCCATGTTGGCACTTTGCGAGCGGGGCGCGGCCAACGAAGGCGGCCCAGGATGGGCCGAGGAGGCAAGGATGTAAGGGCACCCTTGGGAAAATTGCCCATCCTGATTATGCGGGTCGATTGTAGAATCGGGGAGACGCAAGACTCGGGTTCGGGGGACTCGGGTTGGCCTCGCGGGGCCATGATGAAGATGACGCGCGCTCCCGCGGCGAACGTCCCACGAAGAGTGGACCGTCAAAATCCAGGACGCGCTCGTCAACGAAAACGTTGGCAAACCTGAGTTCCAGCGCACTCGAGTCTTACCTGACTTGAGTTTCGGGTTTGGGGTGTACGAGATTCATATATGTTTTTTGATGCCCCCCGTCCCCCACACACTGGAAATGGGGGGCACATCGGGGCCTTCGGGTTGGGTTGTTTTGGAAGGCGGCGATTACCTGTTCCCAGTAGGAGCGGTCCTGGCCCATGGTTGCGAGGCGGGGATCAGCGCTCGGGAGCTTCTGCCACGCGGGCGGTGGTAGCGGGCCGCCCCGCTCCACGGGGCGGGCGGCTTGGAAAAGCTCGGGGCGCTGACGCCAGGGGTCCAGAATCGGCGGAGCGACACGCTAAACCGACGCTCCCTGCCGTATCCACCTGGGGAACCGATGCACTGGGGCCCTGGGGGGGCGGTGGATGTGGATGTGGGATGTGTTTGAACTCCCTGGGGCTCGAGGGTATCCATATCCACCGCCTGCCGATGCGAAGGTCGATCCCCCCGTGCGCTGGCTGTGTACCCCCCCCCGCCTGGGAAGAAGTGGCCCTGGCCCAAGGTGCTCCCCGTGCGCCATGTCGGAGCCCCGTGGGGCCCTCCGGGTCTCGTGATGGGGTGGTTTGTGAGGCCACCTGCGCCGCCCTGGGGAAGCTGGGGCCACCTTGGGCCAGGGCCACCTCTAGAGGCCTCCTAGATGGGGTCGGAGGATCGCGCCGCATCGGCGATACATCGGCGATGTATCGGCGATGCGCCCGCGATGCATCCGTGATGCACCGACGAGGCATCGGCGACGCCCGCGTGAAGCGCATCGGGCTCCGCATCGAGCCGCATCCGCGATGCATCGGCGATGAGGCGCGGTACCCCGACCCCGTCTACTCCGACCCCATCGGGGAGGCTTAGACTCTAGTGCCACCCGACGATGGCACATGGGGGGAGGGGGAGGAGGAGGAGGTGGAGGAGGAGGAGGAGGAGGAGGAGGAGGAGGTGGAGGAGGAGGAGGGGGAGTTCGGCGCCGCGGGTCGGTCCCCCGCGGGCCTTGGCGTGTATTGCACACGCCGCGGCCCACGAGTTACCGGGGCGAGAGCAGCGAAAGCTGCACGGACAGGGTACATGTGAAGACCTCGTCGCCTGTAACGACTCGCGGCCCAGCCGTCCCGGCTTGGTGCATAGGGAGCCAAAGGTATCCCAGCCGGAACGGCAGGCACTGCATACTGAGGAGCACGAGCTCCCCAGTCCTGGGTGGACACAAGGCCCCATGGGACTTACGTGGCACAAGCCACCGCCTCCCGAGGAAATGCAGATCCCAGAGGGCCAGATCGCAATGAAATGACCGCAGAGCCTCGCCGAAGACGTCGGCGATCGGAGCCCTGGGATGCACGCGGTGAACCTCCTCCTCCTCCTCCTCCTCCTCCTCCTCCTCCTCCTCCCCTTCATCATTATTATCCTGTCCCCTCCTCTTCCGCCTCCTTTGCCTCCTCCTGCTGCAGCGTCGGCTTGGGGCGACGTGCCCCCGGCCAGGCGTCGCCGATGGAGGGCACGGTGCCAGCTCTGGAATGCGCCAAGACCTGGCCCTTGGCCCATTGGGCGCGAGGTGCGCCATGAATGAGGACACCGCTCCAAGGCACGCCTGTTCGGGAGTACGCTCGCCTCCCCCGATCCACCGTGCTCCCCCTCGCTCTCCCCTCCCCCCTCCTCGCCCCCACGCCCCCCTCCCTCCTCCTGACCGTCCTCCTGCTCCTCCTCCCCGTGCTTCGCGCTCGCTCCCCGCCCCACCCCTCCTTCCCTCGAACACCTCAGAGCACACCAGCCTGCCATCGGCCGGAACTGCCATCGGACCCGCCACTCACCCTCGCCAGCCGGCGCCGCCGCTCTGCCCTCCCTCCCTCCCTCCCTCCCTCCCTCCCTAGCCCCCCTCCTCCTGCTTCTCCTCGAAGCTCCAAGCTGCGGACTCGTTCCTCCTGTCGGAGCGATCCTCCTCCTGTCGCTGATGGCATCGATGTCGGTCTCCTCCTCCTCCTCGTCCTCCTCGTCCTCCTCCTCCTACTCCTTCTCCCTCCTCCCTCCTCCTCCCTCCCTCCCTCCCTCCCTCCCTCCCCTCCCTCCCTCCCTCCTCCTCCTCTTTTTTCTTCTTCTTATTATTCTTACTCTCTTCTTCTTCCTCGTTCCTCGTCCTCGTTCTCGTCCTCGTCCTCCTCCTCGTCCCCCTCCTCCTCGTCCTCCTCCTCCTCGTCCTCGTCCTCCTCCTCGCCTCCTCGTCCTCCTCGTCCTCCTCCTCGTCCTCCTCGTCCTTTCCTCCTCCTCCTCGTCCTCCTCGTCCTCCTCGTCCTCCGCGTCCTCCTCGTCTTCCTCGTCCTCCTCGTCCTCCTCGTCCTGCTCGTCCGCCTTGTCCTCCTCGTCGTCGTCCTTCTCCTCCTCCTCCTCCTCCTCCTCCTGATCGTCCTCCTCTTCCTCCTCCTCCTCCTCCTCCTTCTTCTCCTCCTCCTCCTCCTCCTCCTCCTTCTCCTCCCCCTCCTCCTCCTCCTCCTCCTCCTCCTCCTCCTCCTCCCGTCTCTCCTCCTCTCCTCGTCCTCGTCCTCCTCCTCGTCCTCGTCCTCGTCCTCCTCCTCCTTCTCCTCCCCCTCTTCCTCCTCCTCCTCCTCCTCCTCCTCCTCCTCCTCCTCCTCCCCCTCCTCCTCCTCCCCCAGTCACTGTGCTATTGCCATAGGGGGGGGGGGGGGGGGGGGGGGGGGGCGCTTGCCTGCCTGGTCCGATATGCAGCGATTTCCGCTCGGGTCTCGCTCGCAGGCAGGGCATCGGGAAATCTACCCTCAGGGCCCGCCATGCCAAGCTCAAAACGAGGACCTCGAGGCTCGCCAGCATCAAGACGGCCCAAGGGGACACCAATCAGGTTTACGACACAGGCCTCCACCAGGCCCACGTCTACGGTTCGGAGGTTGTGGGGATCGACAACGTAGAGCTTCGCAAGTCGCAGTCGCTCTTCCTTAAGATCGCGGGCCCAGGATCCAGCACGCGCTCAAGAAGTCTGGCGTTGTGCATCCTTGGCGTCCCCTGCTGGAGACCAGCAGTCGGCCCCGTTCTACTGTGGAGCCAGCTTGTCGGGCGAGCGGCGACAGGCACCGCGTCGCAAGGTTTTGGGCTTCCAGGGTTGCGCACCATGTGCCAGGAGGTGCTAGACAGCCCTCCAGCCAAGTGGAGCATCTGCCGAGGACCGATCGGCGCCGCCTACTTGAGCCTCCAGCGCGTCCAGTGGGTTTCGGGTCTCCGTTCATTCTCCAGATTCTCCAGGACCACAAAGGAAGCCAGCACATCCTGACCAGCACCTCCCCGAAGCTCATCCAGGACCTCCTTCAGCAGTCTTGGGAAGACAAGCTCCTTCAGCAAGCAGCCTCTAAATTGGGCCTCGAGGGATCCAGGTTAGATGTCTGGATTGCCCGCAAAAGCCTCCAAGCAGTCACGTTAACGACAGTCCAGAAGACCACGCTCCTCGCTTCCCTGGGCCAGGCCATGTGTACCAAGTCAGGACTCGAAGCAGCAGGTTACGAGCTAAACGACGCTGAGTGCACGTGCGGTGCCGAGGCAGACGACCTACCTCACCGTCTCCTGAGATGCCCACTGACTGAGGCCCATAGGACCAACAGTTCTTCGGAAGAAGAGTTGGAAACCCTGTCGAGCCAGTCCAGTTTCCCCCCCTGCGGCGGGCTTCCAGGTGGAGCCAGATTTTGACACCAGGGCCCCAGAGGGCCTGGGTGTAAGCTCGGCCAAGTTTTGGTCAGCGGACCCCGGCGCCACGGCCGAACCCAACTTTGTTGGCGCAGTTTCCACGGATGGGTCGTGTTTGAAGCCAGGCAGCAAAGCTCATCTCACGGCTGGGTGGGCTGTCGTCAAAACAAATGCGGAGGGCGAGGTCGTAGCCGCCCTCACTGGACAGGTAGGCCGAAGTCTCCCCCCAATCCTCTCCTGCCGCTGAGCACCTTGCTGTGCTTGCTGCTGTCTCCTCCTCCACTCGGTTCACGGAGATCTCGGTTGATTACCAGGGAGTTTTAGACCTCTACGCGTCGGGGCCCAGTAGAAAGAATGCCTACTCAAGGGTCGGCCTGCTAGCTAGAGCTGCCATAGGCTGGCACCCTCAACTGAGGCTGACCAAATTCAAAGCCCACCAGAGCCCTGACGCGGCCCCAGTAGGATCTCCCGAGTGGGCAGATATCATGGGCAACCAAAGAGCTGACCGTGTTGCTGACATCGCCTCGCGTGCTTTCGTTCGGCCGTCCGAGGGAGAGGTTGACTCCTACGCGTCAGAATGCAAGCTCCTCAGCAAGTATGTCCTATTTGTTGCCGGCGCCTTGCAGGAGTGGCCTCCCATAGGACCCAATGGCTCCAAGAAAGCTTTTGCCCCGCCTGCCCACAGCCTCTCGCCGACCATCGGAGCGGGAGCAGTGCGGAGTATTTGGCACTCAGCGCAGCACAGTTTTGTCCCACCGCCACCTGACCCCCCTCGCCAGCAGCGAAGCGAGGGCAGGGCCCATAAGTGGGAGTCGGCGGGCAACAGGTTCATCTGTATTGACTGGCGAGAGAGATCGGCTTCCAAGAAGGACACTCCGTGTCGGCCATGCTGTTCAATTAATTTCGCTGTGCGCACGCCCCCCCTCGGCCATCGCCTCTTCGTGTCGAAGGCCATCCTGGGGGGGACACTCCATCCTCAGCTGCTCCAGATGCGGGAAGTTTGCGGACTCCAGCCCCTGGCTCCTGGCCAGCGAGTGCAACCAAGTTTTCGCCAGGCCAGGGGGCGGCACTCAGTGGCGCGAAAGCGGGAGGCACCCAACAAGTACTTTCAAGGCAGCGCCGCAGTTTCAGGCGCCAATGCCCCTGCACGCCTTCCTTCTGCGCCAAGAGCAGGAGGCCCTCCCCCCAGAAGAGGGAGTGGGAACGGCGCTTGCAGCAGAGAGCTCATCAACTCGACCCCCCCCTCCAACCGCGCGAGGGTCCTCCTCCTCCTCCTCCTCCGCCTCCTCCTCCTCCTCCTCCTCTTCCGCCTCCGCCTACGCCTGCGCCTGCGCCTGCGCCTGCGCCTGCGCCTGCGCCTGCGCCTGCGCCTGCGCCTGCGCCTGCGCCTGCGCCTGCGCCTGCGCCTCCTCCTCCTCCTCCTCCTCCTCCTCCTGCTCCTCCTCCGCCTCCGCCTCCGCCTGCTCCTCCTGCTCCTCCTGCTCCTCCTGCTCCTCCTGCTCCTCCTGCTCCTCCTGCTGCTTCTCCTCCTCCTCCTCCTCCTCCTCCTCCTCCTCCTCCCCTCCTCCTCCCCCCCCTTTCCCCTCCCCCTCCTCCCCCTCCCCTTCCCCTCCCCTTCCCGCTCCCCTTCCCCTCCCTCTCCCCCTTCCCCCCCCTCCCCCCCTCCCTCCCCCTCCCCTGCCCCTCCCCCTCTCCCTCCCCCTCCCGCTCTCCCCCTCCCCCTCCCCTCCCCCTCCCCCTCCCCTCCTCTCCTCCTCCTCCTCCTCCTCCTCCTCCTCCTCCTCCTCTCCTCCTCCCTCGATCCTCCTCCTCCCTCCTCCTCCTCCTCCACCTCCGCCTGCGCCTCCTTCTCCTCCTGTTCCTCCTCCTCCTCCTCTCCTCGCCTCCTCCTCCTCCTCCTCCTCCTCTTCCTCCTCCTCCGTCTCGTCCTCCTCCTCCTCCTCCTCCTCCTCCTCCTCCTCCTCCTCCTCCCCCAGTCACTGTGCTCTTGCCAAGGGGGGGGGGGGCGCTCGCCCGCCCGGTCCGATATGCAGCTCTGGGCGTAGTGGGTGAGCACTTGGTTCACCTCGGGGCGGCCCGCGTCCCGCAGGCGGGGCAGCAAGCGACGGGGAGCGACGAGGACGGGGACGAGGAGGGGACGTCCCCTTCTCGTCCTCGCCCTCGTCCTCGACCTCGTCCTCCTCGTCCTCGTCCTCGACCTCGTCTTCGTCCTCGTCCTCGTCCTCGACCCCGTCCTCGACCTCGTCCTCCTCGTCCTCCTCGCCCTCGAACCCCCCTGGGGAGGTGGAGGCCCCATGCTTTCCTTTTTCGGAGGGGGGGCCTGCCTTGACATCCGGAGACGTCCAGAGAGTGAAAGGGGGTCAGAGGAGGAGGAGGAGGAGGAGGAGGAGGAGGAGGAGGAGGAGGAGGAGGATAACGATAATGATAATGGTCATGATAATCATAATGGAAATGATCATGAGGAGGAGAACGATGAGGAGGAGGAGGAGGAGGAGGAGGAGGAGGAGGAGGAGGAGAAGGAGGAGGAGCAAGAACAGGAGCAGGAGGACGAGGAAGACACGGACAGGGGGGAGGTGGCAGAGGGCTCCTCGGAAGACCCCGTGGGACCTCTGGGGGAATTGCTGGCGGTCTGCTCTGGCCAACTGCCATCATGACAATTCTGCTAGGAGGCGAGGCGGCACAGGACGGCGAGGGTGATCAGGAGAATGCGCTGCTGGCGGCCCCCATCGATCAGCACACCCGACACCGAGGATACATGGTCGGGCCCTGGTGGGCACGTCCCATCCTCATCCGCATCCTTTTCGTCCTCCTCCTTCCTCCGTCCTCCTTTCTCCTCTCCCTCTTCCTTCCCCTCCCTCTCTTCCTTGCCTTCTGCAACTCCTTCTGCTCCTCCCACATGTCCTACCTCCCTCTTGGGAGCGGTCAGTGGGTCTGCGCTGGACGGGCCTCGAGCCACTCGGTCAAGAGGGGGGACGAGGACAAATCCGCTCATAATCGGTCACTGGGCTCCTTCAGGGGACGAATATCACCACCATTTTTTCGAGCCGCGCCCAGGCCGTGGCGACGAGGGGCCCCTTTCTTCCCCTTCCCTGTTGGCCAGGACCAGTGCTGGGCCACCGCGGACCCCCAGCTGACTCCAACCTCCCTCTCCTCCTCCTCCTCCTCCTCCTCCTCCTCCTCCTCCTCCTCCTCCTCCTCCTCCCCCTCCTCCACCTCCATGCCCCTCCTGCTCCTCCTCCCCCTCTCATCCTACTTCCACTCCTCCCTCCTCCCTCTCCTCTCCCTCTTCTCTCCCTCCTCCCCCTCCTCCCCTCCCTCCTCCTCCCCCTCCCCTCCTCCTGCTCCTCCTCCTTCTCCTCCTCCTCCTCCTCCTCCTCCTTCTCCCCTCCTCCTCCTCCCCTCCCCCTCCTCCTCCTCCCCCTCCTCCTCCTCCTCCTCCTCCTCCTCCTCCTCCTCCTCCTCCTCCTCCTCCTCCTCCTCCTGCTCTCTCTCCCCCGCCTCCTCCCCCTCCTGCTCCTCCTCCCCCTTCTCCTCTTCCCTCCTCGCCCCCCCCCGGCAGAGGAGGGGAGCCGCTCTCTGCACCCCCTCCCCTCCGAGCCGCTCCGTGCCCGGCGCGCCGCCTTCGAGAAGCCCTGCATGACGCACGCCACGAGGTTCACGGCCCCGTGCTGCGAGATGTGCTCCACCAGCTTCCACTTGTACTGGCGGGCCTCCAGCGACGCGGGGCGAGGGGGGGGGGCGCAAGCCCCGACGTGCTCGCATCGTGCAAGGAAAAGGCACGACCGGACGTTTGTGTGTGTGCCCGTGCTCTGCTTTCGGGGGCGCCCGGGGAGAAGTTGACGCGCTGAGACTGGGAAGGGGTTCGCGTGTCGCGCCGAAGCGTGGTGGGGCAGCACCGGCGGCGCGACACGCTAAACCAACTTGCCTCTGATGGTCGGAAGCTGGGCGAGGGTTGCTAAAACCGTGGCTGCCAAAACGGCTCTCCCGGAAGGAAAAAACAACTTCCCGGAATGAGACGCGGCACGAGAAACAGTAAACGGGCTTCTTCCCGGAAGGGCGAAGACAACTTCCCGGAGGTCGATTTTAGCAGCCACGGATTTAGCAGCCCTTGCCCAGCTTCCGAGATGGGGTGGGTGGGGCGGGGGGATGCTGCTCGTGCATGCGCGAACTGCGAACCTCCAGGTGCACCCGCCCTCGCGGCCGGGGGTCCCGACGGCACGTCAGACCTTGCAGGCAGACGGCGCGTCCGCTCCGCTCCGCGGTGCGCGAGGCGGGGAAGGGCTCGGGCAGTTGCCGCTTGGGGAATGGGGACGTGGACAGCTCGTCGTGCCGAGGAGCGGCGGGCCATAACTGGTCGAGGGTTTGGGCCCCCCCCCTCCTCCTCCTCCTCCTCCTCCTCCTCCTCCTCCCTCCTCCTCCTCCTCCTCCTCCTCCTCCTCCTCCTCCTCCTCCTCCTCCTCCTCCTCCTCCTCCTCCTTTTCCTCCCATCGGGGGGAGGGGGGTGCCGAGGAGCCTGGGACCCATTCCATCTGAGGGGGGGGGGGGGGGGGCGCGGCCCGTGGGCCCGGAGCCCGCGACCATAACTGGCGGCACGGCACCTTAAGCCAGAGTTCCTGACCGTGCGCATCTGCCCCCATGGTTCACAGGATGCCGCATCCACTGCAAAATCCCACCAGCACTCGAAGCGCAGGTGGCTTCAGGAGTGGGCTCTTCTGGATTCCGTCTTCGCCTCAGGGGAGAAGTCTGCCTCTCACCCTGCCCCGTCTCCCTGGGTATGGACGTGCCCAGTCGCGAGTCATTGGAGTCGAAAGTGAGCCTGGTAACTCAAATAGCATCCGCTCCCATGGGAATCGAATGGCAGATAGCGTCCATTCCTCTGCTGCGGTGGTTCAGTATGGGGAATGGGCGGGTATGATAGGATAAAATCGATGTATCGGTCTTTCCAGCACATAGCGAACACTAAGGTAAGTGTCCGGGCAAATAGGGCGCGCGTGCCTTGAGCCAAAGGCAACGGCGCGCGAGCTATGCTCCCGATACTATAACATCTCCCAAAAAGCTACCCTTAAAGTCGGGAGGGGAGGAGACGGAGAGCATAGCCGCGCAGCCGTTAGGCTCTTCAAAGGCCGCGCGCACGACTGTCTGCAAGAAAGAAATCAGTGCGTACAGTCTGGCCTAACACCAGACTGTAAGGCGAGTTTCCTCGCAAGGCATTTCACGCAAATACAGGATAGCCCCTTTGAGCGATGAAGGGCTATCGGCTCAGTTAGAGGTAAGCCAAACAGGCCATACCTCACCGAGCAAATATGTATTAAGGCAAAGAGCCTGAGTCATACAAAGCCGGCTCGTTGCCAGGCGTGAAATGTAAGGCTCGTTTCCGAGCAACTAGAAGGGCGCCTCTATAGTAGGCGCCCATGCTGGCAAATTGGACCGCGGGGGCAACAAGGACAGACTAAAATTGATTAGACTTGGGTTTGTCTCTGTCCTCGGGACCCCGAAAGGGAACAAACTGCTTCACGTCATACTTGAATGACTGAGTGCCTGACATCACTTCCAGAAGCAGCTCCCGATCGATGCTTCCCTTTGTATGCCCGTCTGCGGTCATATCCCCAGTGTCACACCACTGCACGTTATGTACTATACCTATATCCATGCGCTCACGTATCCAACTGATGTGTCCAAGCAGAGTCCGCTCTGTCGGTATCTTAAGATCCTTGCTTGATAATGATTTATAAACGGACTCAGCGTCTATGGTAAGAGATACTTTGATGGCTAGGCCTCCAACTTCACGCATATCTCGTAGTTGTCGTGGAGTCAGAGCTCCTGCCTTGAGCTCGTGGAGAGTGATGAGCGTAGGGTAACACTCATCGAGGTTATGCGCCGCTGCGAGTGCCTCCGCAGCATAGCTGGACCTCACCTGCAGTCGGTGTGATTTGCATAGTCCGTCACAGAGGTGAACGACGGACTTGCCTTGAGGCGAGTTTCCTCGCCGTAGTACATTCGCCCCGCGTATGCCGTAGCCCTTGGTCTCATCATCCTCCTCCCCGGTAAGCTTCCGATACCCCGAATCGCTGTGGATGTCAACTTCATTCGTCGGCTTCATCCGAGGGAAGGTGATGCGTTTCGGGCTGCTGATCAGCTTTCGCGTCACAGCATTCAGGCGCCCGGCTTGCAGATTGGTGGGCTCTTGGATTTTCTGGAGAGAGACCACGTATACCATGAGCCAGATTTGAGTAAGAAGGGCATAGGCGAGGGCTCCTCGCAAGCTGAAGAACATGTCGGTAAGGAGTTTCGTGGCTTTGGCATCGGCCGCCGCTCCTGTAAGTTCTGGGTGTGTGATAGGACGTAGTTGTTTGATATATTCGTCCTGATCCATAATCGCATCCCCTTGATCATTTTTAGCGTAGCGAACGGCGCAGTTCGTATATGTGTGTTTGTTTAGCTTGCATTAGCCAAACACCTTTTCGACGCGCTGTACGTAGTCGCTTATATTTTTCTCTAGGCCAGTCATGTTAATATCATCAACATGTTTTGCCGTTAGCAGATCTTGGCTGAATTCAAATTCAGGGTCATAACTGGTCGGTGTAAGACCCATAGCTCGTGTGGTCGTACGAAGTTTGAGAGAGAACGCTCTTGGAGCATCCTTTGTACCCGTTCCTGGTTTGAGGCATCTGAGGCAGTGTCGGCTTTCGTCATAGGATGAGAAGCCGGGTAGTGTACGAAGTACCTGGGCACTTCCCGGTGGAAGAGTGAAGCAGACCATGCGAGTTTCCTCGCCTGTGGCATGGGCAAGTTCCTCATAGGTCAAACCCTTGAGGAACGCCTTGTCGATATCCATGGATGCTAAGATCCACTCTGGATGGCATGCCGCCTCACTTGCCAGGAGTCTTTGGGACTGCCTTCGGGCGGTTCCCGAGAATGTTTCCACATCGAAAGCCTCAGTATCCATAAATCCGCGAAGGACAAGTCTGAGACGAATGGTTTTAACGTTCTCGGTACCCACCTTTACAAACTTCCACTTGTATACATAGCTGGATGTCATGATGTTGGAAGCTTTGGATAGATCATACATCTCAAAGCATCGGTTGTCAATCCAGATTTTGAGCTCAGTATACAAAGCTTCACTAACCTCCTTTGGGCGTGCTGCTATGTCGGCTTTGGTCAGTAGATCATCTTCTTTAACGACCACAGCACGTTTAGCAGCAGAGGATACATATACCCTCATCGTTGCGACCAGATCGGTGTCGAGCTGTGCAAGTTGAGTCTGATCTAACACTATTTTTGACATTTCTGATGTAAAACATAACTCAACGTAAGGACCATATTCATCACTATCAAGAGAGTAGCTCTCGTCAGGCGTGGTTGAGCAGAGAGAGACTATACAGGACTCTCGTGGTTCAGGCTCGTCTCCGAGCGTGTCCGATGATATGGTATCTTCTTCGTCCACAGATGCTGAAACCAAAACACATTGGTCAGGCAGCATGGTTGTTGGGACGCAGTAAAGATAATCGTCGGTAGTCGTCGTAGGATGAAGGTCCATACGTAGCTCGTCGTACCACTCTTCCAGCATCATAGCTTCGATATTATGTTCCTCATTTTCCTCATAGATTGTCGACAGACGGCCTTCACTCGGCGATGAAGCACCCGGGGTGTCTGGAGGAGGCCTGTTTCCAGGCGAATCGTGTTCTCCAGACGTGTTGCTTGAGTGCTGATCTTTAGCTAGGTCGTCGTGAAATCCTAAGGAAGGGACACGTGAAGTCAAGAATTGAATGAGTCTGGAATGAGTGCTACCAGTGATCTGAGACATGTTTAGGCCGGTGCCCACGCACTCGTAGTAGTGGAAAGCCGGGCTGATATCGTTGCCATAGTGGATCAGCGTAGACCCGGTGGCGTACTTTACTGCAGGTAGGCTTGACACACTTTTGGCCAATCACTACATGTTCTACTCGAAAATAGTTTCGTACGAGATACTGTAGTGCTAGATGTACGCGCGGGTGAAACTTGCTGTCGTCTGAAAGATTGAGGTTCCCCTTGTAATCGGGGATATAGCCGAAAACTTTGGCAGGTTTCCCTGCGCCGAGGTGTGCCACATATGTAAGGACGGTTTGCATGGCCATATTATCCATGCCAAGTTCCCGTGTGAGGAGACATTCAGTGTATAGTGTGTGACGAGCATCAGGATACATCACAATTGCCTCACGAGATCCTGCCTTGACAACAATATGTCCTCTTTCAGGCACATTACGGATCACCGGGAATGGGCCATTCCAGCCTCCATGGTCGTCCTTGGTGGCAGTGGGTCGGTGGTAATCGACCAAATCCCCTGCAGAATAAAGGCGAGCACCATCAGGAGTCGTCTTAGCCCTAAGAGCCCGATTTGTCTTGGCCACAGCAGTGGCCTGAGTTATAGCTTCTAGGCTGACTTCCCTTACACGACGTTCTCGTTCGTGTCCTGAAGTCTCGGGTCCCTGGGGAAAGTCAAGGGTATCGAGATCAGGGAGGAAGGAGGGCTGACGTCCTGTGTGTGCTTGGTATGGCGATACTCCGTTATAAAACGTAAAGGCATTAGTAACGAAGATGCCTTCCGCCAATACTCTAGTAAATACAACAGGGATGTTGTGTCTATTCAGTTCTTCCTCAATCATGCGGAGGACGCCTCTGAGAATGCCGTTTCGTGACTCACTTGAAGTCGCGTGTTGGCCAGGTGCTCGGA